CAGCCCTCCAGATATTGCCTGAATTGCAACTCTAAGGATGCATTAACACTGATAATTCTAACTAGGTCTACTGGGAACTGCAGTCCAACAATACTGGAAGGCTGAATGATTCCTACCCTTTTAATTCATGATTATTCTTGTTGATCAATATCAGCATCTAGAAAGCATTTGTAGGTGAACCTATTTCTGTCCAGAGACTGAATTCAAATTTAAAGAATTTTCCACGAAGGGTATTAATTAAGGCCTAATAAATATGATAGGTCCAAAAATATCAGATTTTAACTTAAAGTTTACTGCAAATAAGTAAGCTTTAAAAGAGGCATTTTGCCTTATGGAGGGTGACAAACAACAGAAAAGATGGGAAGCACTAAACATGGCTATTAAGGTGGAAATGATGTGATTATCTTTGATAAGCTCCAAAAGGCCAAGGAGGCCTGAACTCAACTGCAGGGTCTGGGACTCCCCGTCCCACCTTAACATTTCTCAGGCAGCAATATGTTTAAATCTAATCTAATATAATATCTAATATAATGCCCTCCCCCCAATAGAAGAAAAGATACAATATTCCTTCTACCCTTATACCTACAAAAATAGCTTCAGAGAGGAAAGAGCTAGAAAGAGTAGACAGGGAAATAAACTATTCTTTATGGTATTTGGTGTTGAAGTCATCTGTTTTAAATATCTGTTTAAATTATGGAGTAAACATTACTGGACTGTGTGCAACATAATTATGGCTCCATGTCTATAAGACAGGGGAACATATCTGGAAAAAAGTTATATATATTTGATAAGCTCCACAGAATTGCCCCATAGAATTTTCCAACCTGTAGTTTCCTCTTCGTAGTGGAAGATGAGTTTTGATTCATGCTGCTTATCAGCTTGGCATCAGTTCTGGGATGAGTTTCAATTTGAAGACAAGTCAAAACAACATTAAAATATACTGCAAACTTTTATTGTTTACAGCTCACTGGAAGGGCATGTTTGCAGAAAAAAGGTGTACATGTGGTTTTTTAAGAACACATTTTTCATTAAAAGAATGAATAGTCTATGTCTCTGCTGAAACTCGATTTCTTTCTTAGCAAGAACCCTGGCAAAGCAATCAATAGCCTAGGAGCTAAAAGGGTCTGTATCAATACAAAACCCCCATGGCATCTTGTTCTGATGCTTTTGACATTTGTTCTAAGTACACTTAAATGAACTTTTCTCTTGAAAATCACAAAAATACCCCCAATGCTTCTTTTGAATTATAGCTGACGTTCATAATGTGCTTTCTTAAAAGGAAATGGACAAGGTTAGTGATGCTATCTTCTTGGAGGAAATCTTATCTCTGCATGTGGTACTATAGGTTTTGCCAAATAAACTCTTCTTCATTCTCCATAGTTAAAACCAGTTGAATTAGATATTAGCATGCAGTGCCTGGAAGAGAAAAGATACATCATATAGTTGGAAAAAATTAACATTTGAAAATCCACAGAATCTTGGTGCCATGCTGGTAGTCACATTTGCGATATATCAGGGGCATAGTGAACGTTTGAAGAATAGTCACAAAGTGTTGTTTTATTTTGTGCCCCTCAGTGTTAACTGTATTGAAAACTTTCATCTAATCAATACGCCTAGCTAGTGTAGATCCATTGAATCAATGGAACTTGCATTAAGTGTTGACTCAACAAGTTGCCACAGATTTAATAGTCTGTTGTACATGTGATTAACAGTTGGATTTAGGCCATCATGCAATCCTATTGCACACAGTGGTTAGGGAAACTGATTTTTTTAATAAAAAGATTGAGATTCAAGGTGAGTGGTCACATTCTTGTAAGAATGGTTGCTGTTGCTTTTAATTGCTGTTGAGAAGCTTCACTTTATGGCGACCGTATGAAAGAGAGACCTCGAAGTCACCTTGTTATCAATGGCGCAGCCCAGAGTTTGCAAGTTCATGGTTGTGGCTTTCCTTGATTGAATATGTTCACCTGTAATGCCAACTTCCTCTTTTCCTATTGCTTTCAGCCTTAACTAGGATTTTTCCCCTTCTAGTGAGCCATGTTTTTTCAGGGTATATACATGGTATGAAAGTCTCACCTTAGTCAACTTGGCTTCCTGGACGAGTTCAAACTTGACTTCCTTTAAGGTCATGGTTAGATACAATCTTTTCTACATGCCCTTATATGTTTTGGATTTTACACAGAATAATCAAGGAGGAGAGATAATGGGAATTGCAGTACAATATCTGAAGGACCCTTTTGCTCATATCCACACCTCCTCAAAATCAGACACATAACCAAAATGCGGCATTAAGGAATGCTGGAGAATGACATAAATACAGTTCACCGTAAAAGGTTAAAATTATTGTTTCTATAATTTCTCATGTAACAATAGACCACTGTCTTGGGAACAGAATAATATCAGCTTTATTTTCTTCATATCACTGCAAACAAAGGACTGGAGACTTACTTTTTCAATGAAAGCTTGAACATTAAGGGGAATTCTATTTACATGCCTAAGGAATCCAACCAAGTTTCTGAAATAACTTCTAATGGAAATGACCCCATTCAAAATTGTCATACTTTAACAAATGGCTTTCATTGTAGAGGGCTTTAATTTCTGAATTTCTCAAGTAGACAAATGAATTTTCATGGACCAGTATTGAATAAATTATAGCATTTCTTCATCTCCCCACTCTCCCCCAGAGTACTTCTAGACAGGCCAGAAATGCACACAAAAGCGGATTTTTAAAACCTGCTTTTGCACATATTTCTGTCCCCACTGCACCCTGAAAACCCAGGTTTTCCCGGGAAGGGGGTGGCTACATGCCATCCTGATAGCAATTGGAGTAGCATGCAGCAACCATGAAGCCCTCTAAATAACCCCTAAAAATGAAAGAAAACTTATCTGGCCACCYTTAAGTTCCTCCTCACGGCCTCCTGGTGCAAGGAAATGATGCTCCAGGAGATTTTTTTTTMGGGGGGGGGAAGGAAATGAAGAGAAAATTTCCTCATCCCCTGTCTCCTGGCACTTCATTTTCTTGTGCCAGGAGGTCGTGAGGAGGAACTTAATGTGGCCAAGCACAGTAAATTTTCTTTAGTTTTTAAAGGTACTTTGGGGGCTGGGGGGGGGGGGTGGCCACCATCTAGGTCTTTGGGCTCCAAGACCCCAAAAGGTTCAYAAAAGCAAATGAGGACTCACCCCCAGGTAGCCCAAGGATGRCACTGGTAAAAACCCAGAGAGGTCCTGTGTTTTTGGCTTGTCTGGATGGGCCCACATTCTTTCCCTGTCTTCTTCTGTTTTTTTTTTTTTTGAAACATACAGTAATAACTAGCAGATTACTTATGCTGATTTATTTGCCCTTGATAAGTTACTTATCATTCACCAGAAATGCAAGAAATGTATATCTCATATGTACATGAACCCAAAGTTATGGGTGTGCCCAGTAGTGTGTGTGTTAGTATCCCTACCTTAAACAGAAAACACTTAAGGCATGTTTCAAAGTATTAGATATCCTCTCTTTTTCAAGGCACATTAAAATACAGTATGGAAGGGCATTTGGGGAGACAGATCTCAGGGCAACTTTTAAAATCTTAGTTCTCTCCCTACTTGTGTATTTATTTTAAAGTTCCCTAATGTTAAGCTTCCTCTGTCCCATTTAAAAATAGTTACAGTGAAAAAGTTTGCTCTTTTCTGGTTTAAAGTTCACCCTTTTCCCCTGCCTGAGCCCCATTTATTATGCAGGTGTGTTGATCAGATTCTCTTTTATACCTTTTGGTGACTCAGTGCTCTTCCTTAGTCAAATTCTCACTAAAACAGCATTTACAATTGAAGTAAAATAACCAGTTTGTCTTATGCCTCAACAAAGAGGAGTTAATTAAGGGGAAAGAAATGAAATCACATGCTATTTTCATTTTTGATTATTCTATTAAGAACTCTCTGAGCACTAATAAGTGGTAAGTAAACAGGATTTTGAAAAAGGCAATATGGATAAAATGCCAAAGTTCATTCCTGCAAAAAGAATCAAGAAAAACCCTTGCTACTGTTTCTGAAAAGGTTAGATATTAAAAATGCACATGGTCATGATTAATTCTTGGCTGTTCTGTTTGTTTTGACAGTAAAAATTTTAACCTTCTTAGCATTCCCAACTAAAAGCAACACACATATATTTATAATTTATTGAATACACCAAACCTCCTCAGAAATATGCATTTGTCATAGGATCAGTTAAAGTATTTGACACATCTTAGGGCATCAATAGTCTATTTAAATTAATGATGGTGCTGTTTTAAATGTTTCAGTTACATTCTGTTATATAGAATCTGTAATATAGACAATGCAGGTTCTCAGATGCTTCCTCCCAAGGATCTGGGAGGGGCAAGGGGGATTAGCTATATTTTATGGATTTTGCAGTTTCCTGAACATTACTTCCCTTTATTGTCATGCAGATATTAATTTGCAAGCAAGTCCTGCATCTCATCTGCATCAAATAAGACAAACTGAAAATGTAGAGCAACTGGTTCTAGATTATTTGGTACTTTTAACACAGAGTTATACATTACTAAAGCAAGGTGTGATCAGTGAAAACAAGGAAGATAGAACATGCCCAAAAGCCATGAATGGCCTGTTTTCTGGAAAGCTGGGAAGTGAGGAATGTAATGTAGTTTCTCAAACAGAGGAACAGTCTGACTGGTATTATGGACAGGAATATGTGGCTCTTCATGTGGCATGTTGACTTAATATCATAAAGTAATCAAATTTGTGGTGCCACAATGGGTTAAACCTTGTACCAGCAGGATTGCTGACTGACAGGTCACCAGTTCAAATCTGGGGACAGTGGGTTGAGCTCCCTCTGTAATGAGAGAAGCCTCCCATATGAATGGTAAGGCATCAAACATCCTGGCATCCCCTGGGTAATGTCCTTGCAAATGGCCAATTCTTTCACACCAGAAGCAACTTGCAGTTTCTCAAGTCAATCCTGACACAAGAAAAAAAAACCCAGAAAAAACCAAACTATAACCTTATTTTTGCAAATTCACTTTATTCTGAAAACTGTGTACAGCACAATTTGAGTGACTGATCATGTACATTTTGATGCAACTTGACATTAATTCAATTTTGAGGCAGTAGTCCAGGTAATAAGAGTTATTGGATGATACGTCAATAGTCTAATTTAAACATCTTAGTATGGGGATACATAGTGATAAAGCTTAATGAATGATTGTGTACATGTTACAACAGAACACAGACAACCACAATTATTATTAATGAACAAGTTTCAGCCTCTGGCCCCAAACCAATTTATATTACTTGTACTTAATTACTAATGAAATAACACTGGGCAAGTTAGTCACAGCTAGATCTGAGATTTCAATGGGTCTTAAGCAACTAGCCTTAGGTGAAATGGTAACCATGTCTCTACTTACTTCTGCAAACTTGCCAAATCATAATAGCTGAATAGAGTATTTCTCTACCCTGTTAGCAGTACCACACATGTGAGAATAATGAACACTCAAACCTTTCCTTCATCTCATTCCTAAAAGTTATTTCCTTAACTCAAAACTCTGCAACTTCCATGTGCATATGGATCATGTGACTTATTGGCAAAGCAGATTATGTGGTCAGATTTCGATAGAGTTTACTTTCACTTAATGTCTTATGTTAAGAGTACAATACTGTGTGTCAGTTACTACTAAGAATAATACAATTCAGCATGATCAAGTTACATGCCAAGTCTTAAAACCCAAGAAGTGTTTAAAATTCAGTAGAACCCACTTTCTTATTAAAATGAGTGAGAACAGTGCGTGAGCACTTTTATTTGAGTCTGATTTGTTTCAATAGGGCACAAACTGGGGAATTGGCCTGCAGCTTGCATTCTACATCATTGTGATTAAGAAAGCATTAACCTTTACAATTGAAGAGGGGGAAATCAGGCCTAATGTGCACCTGAAATGTATTCAGCCTAAGAAACCCACAAATTTATTCTCTAATTTAATTCTCATTCACATTTCAACGATACTTAAGAGGTACTACCAATTTGCAACTTGTATAGTACTGAACACCTGAAAATGATCTTTTAAAATAATATGTGAACCATGGGGATACTTCAAATAACTAAATAATGATAGCCTATTTTTTAAACATAAGAGATTTGACAATTATACCACATGTCAGACAAAGTATAAAAATATGTTCAAAAGTATTAATAAATTATTACACATCTATGATAGCTTGTTTGCTATTCATCCAGGTTTCCACTAGGAACCAGTAGGTTAGAGAACTCAATAATTAGAAAAGCATTCAATATAATATCAAATGATGCAGCCACATTTTTTAAATGCAGCAGTCAATAGAAAATCTGTATGGAAAAATCTCTTCATAACATATAAAAGTAGTTTTAAAAATTCAGGAAAAAATGTATTTCCGTGTCATATTTAAAGTTTTTTCTTTAAAAAACACGGCAGTCAATTTAACACAAGAGAGAGAGAGAAACCAAATCAAATGGTAAGGAAGAAGAAATCTCAAAAGCAAAAAAATATACTTCTATTTATGAAGTCTTAAATGCAGCCTTTTATTTGTTTTCTAAAAGCAACCTTTCTCAGCCTTATCCAAAGAGGGCAACCATGTTTTACAATCACATGCCTATGGGTTGACGAGCTGTGACTTCCAATTTGATATGCCAATCAAAAACATTCAGGAGTTAATTCAACTTTTCTTGTTTTGCTATTATATGTAAATATAGAACGTTTACATAAAAGTGACACTATTAGGTTATCATCCATTCCTATGGCACTGTAAAATAAAGTCCAATTTCCCTTTTACTCAAAAACAGAAAAGTTGTTCTTCTGTCAAATGTGCATCACACTTAGGAGCCTTCTACGATTACTTAAAACCCATAACTCCAGGGTTTACCTTGGGGAGTGCCATCCCTCAGCCCTACTTCCCCCCCCCTGCCCCCGCCCCACCCCCCAGCTTTCCTGAGGGGACCTGCTGGCAGTGCAGGCCCCTTTGTTGAGGCTTTTGTAGAGACACATCAGGAAGTGAGAAGGAGGGAAATCCCTCATTTTCAAGTGTTAGGAGGACTGTGTAGAGGAAACTGCATTGCCTGCAGACCCTCCAGAAAGTTTTTTTTTGGGGGGGGGACTGGGGAGGAGGTGTGTGCCCTCCCACTCCTTCAGGCTCCAGGAGTCCAAAGAACCAGGATGGCTGTGGAGATTGATCCCTGGGATCGCAAAATGCGGTTCCAGGAGTCAATCCCCACAGAGCCCACACTTAGAAAGATCCTGACATTAGCTTAAGGTCCAGATCTATCCAAGTGTTTAATTAATGTGCAGCAAACAGGGAAACCCCAGTTTTCTCTACATTCACTAACTTTTACCTGAGGCGTCATTTGGTTGCCTCAGGTAAAAGTGAGATAGGTCCCAAATTCTGGGCCTGTCTGGAAGGGCCCTTACAAAGAAATAAAATTTAATTTTATAGAAGCATATAATGTAACTAATGTTCTGGCAAAAAGAGTTCAGAAAGTGGCACTGTTTCTCAGAAGTGTTGCAATGCCTCAGAATTGTTTTGTATCTCCTGGTTACATAGGAAGTCATTGATTTTTTTAAAAAAAATAAGGGGGGAGAGATTCCTCCATCCTGTTCCTATTACTAGTCATAGTCACGATCCAAGTTTTACAATAATGTGATGGTTAAAATATGTATCACTAAATATTCATAATGAACTGGTTATAAAATGCATAACAAAATGTCCTCAACTTTTTATATCCATATTGTTACTTTTTGTTAGCCACACTTTCAGATTATGGAATAAGAAAGGTTGTCATGTCCTTATCTATTAACATCCACTGCACTGGCAAGGGAATGGTGCACAAAAGAAAGAGGCGCAATACTGCTGACAGAACTGGTACTACTACAAAATACTTTGGGGGATGATTTTTACATAGGGGAATTCAATTTCAAGACCACCATGGTCTGGCTAGTGTTTTCTTTATCAAATGCATTTCAAATGCTCCACATCTATACCAGGAATGGCCATGCAATGACCCTCCAGAAACTGTTCAACTTCAATTAATAGCAGTCCTGGCTGGCATAGTCAGTAGTGATAAATAGTGAGTTTCACATGAACAGCAGCTGGAGGCCTGCAAAGCATCCACCCCTGATCTACATAAGCTATTATTATACCAACATTAACATATTTATTCGAATCTAATGCTCACCTTTTTTTTGACTAAATTATCTTCCCCAAATTAGGGTGCATATTAGATTTATGTAATATGGTAAATACTTTTTTTGGGTTTCAGGGTTTTGAAAATGTAGATGTACATTGGATTAGATGGTGCACTAGACTCGAGCAAATATGGGTATATTATTTGCATCACCTCTATTTCGGAGTTTTATGATATATGTTTTCTATCTTGGAAGCTCTTACACTCTGACAATATGGCCCATAAAGAGATACCATTTATCTACATACATAACCATGTCTCTCCAGGGAATGGATATGTTTTGAGTAAAAGAAAGTCTATAGCTATGTGGACAGCAACAACATGTCTCCTATTGCCGTTTCTGAATCCTGACTATGAGTAGAACTGATCCCAGTGTCAGAGTCTGTATCGTTTATGTCTAAATTAGTCACTTTGTGAAGAAGGTCTGTTCCTGTAAAACTCTTGGTTGCTATTTCATTGTCCTTCACTTGTTCCTCACTGGGTGAGTACCTGCATTCAGTTTTATCTTTAACGTGAAAATCATTAAGCTCATCCACAAGTTGTTCATACTCTCTTTCCTTCTTCTGAACCATCAAATCCCTGTACTTTAGTTCCTGCTGGATGTAATTCATTTGTGAATGGATCCTTAATGCATCTTTCATACTTTTTTCCAGCTCATTCTTGACACTGCCAACATCATGATTCTCCATTTCATTATTACAGGCTTCCTCTGTCCACGTGTTTCCATTTTTTTCGAATTCTTTAACCTCTTTTTCAATTTCTGCAGAAAGCTTTTCAATCAACAGCTTGTGGTGTTTTAGCTCTTCCTCCACTTGTAAAATATTCTCACCTTTGCATGGGCTTTCCAGCATCTGTGGTTGAGTGATGGACATGTTCCTTTGATGTTCTACATCACCAGGAGTGGCCATTAGGTAAGAGTCTTGAACATAATTTTCCCCATCGCTTTCAAGCCGATTTAAGTGACACTTGGCTTCACACTGTTCAATTTCCAAATCAAGTTCCTTCAAGCGGTTGATTTGTTGGTGAATGGTGTGATCTTGAGAGAGAATCAAATGAATCAGGGTTTCTATGTTGTCCCTCTCTTGCAGAACTCCTTCCTGTTTCAGTTTTGCAAGCTTTCGAAAAGTTTTCCTAACAATTCTCTTTTGCTTGTCCACTGGCAGCATCTTCATGTAATTGGCTGGGCTGAGGTCCAAGTGTCTTTCTAGGTTTGGTACTATCTTGGCTTCAGCTGTCTTCCATAATGGGAATGGGGAGAAAGCATCTGCCTTGACCAAGACAAATTGCAGATTCGGCTGCTCTTCCCCCCAGGCTTTCCAAAGCCTCAGCATTTTGGTGAGAGGTGGAAGGACCCGTTCAGATCCTCTCCATTTTTCAACAATACAGTAATCCTTGGGCTGCCCAAAGAGAAACTTCTTTTCCACAAAGGTAGCCTGATGTTCTTCAAGCAAAGCTTCAATTACCTGAAGGCAAGTTGTGCGCTTGGTCAACCCACTTACAATTTTCTCATCCTGGCAAACCCACACTACTATTTCTCGCTCGCTGGAGCCCATCACTTTTTCAGGTGACCTGCAATTAAAGGGAAACAAATATTACACAGAAGAATAGCAGTCCTACTTTGTTGTTATCCCTTACTTTAAACCATTCATGAACTATAGATCCTCACATAGGCAGAAGAACACAATCCACATACAGCAGAAATGTTCTGTAAAGGTGCTCAAAGAGTCCAAAAAGACAATAGACAAAAGAACTGAGTGGGGGGAATGGAATGGAATATCCAGGTAGAGGACATGGTTAGCTGGTCCTTTGTATTGGGACATTTCACACTACAATGTTTCCTTTCCAATGTTCTATGCTAATATTTGAACTTCTGTCAAAATACCTCAAAAATCATGACATGGTACCTCATGATTTTCACCCAAAGTTTCTATGAAAGGCTGCAAAACATTTGGTGGAAATTAAATGTCTCCCTCTCCAACTACACACAGTTTTTAGAGTATAACATGTCATCTTGACACAGAAGTTTAGAAATTAAAAGGGCTACTAAACATTTCTTTGTACTACCCACTCAGCCACCACAATGGGAATTCAAATAATGGGAACTCAAACATACTTCAATATATACTTGCAAGTCTCCTTCTACCCATTCTGTACAGTCACAAATGTCATGTTATTCTATGCTACCTAGGGTAAACTCCTCCTATTCCATTTCACTCCATTCCATTTGCACTTCAATATTAATACTGCCAGGTTCTCTCAAAATCTCAATTGTTCAAGTCTGTACTGATTGCTCCAAATCATTTGTAACAAAGGTTTCATAAGAGAGGAAAACTTTGGGGACTAGGGAGGATGTGTTATGATTGCATCTTTTCAAACATCTAAGAAAAATTCATAGTCGAAAACCCGGGGGGGGGGGGGAGAGAGAGCTAGAAATATTTGCAGAAGAAAATAATAGAGTTGGAAGAGACCACAAGGACCATCAGTCCACCTCCTGCCATGTGAGAAAACACAATCAAAGCATTCCCATCAAATGGCCATCCAGCCTGTTAAAAAAAAAAAAACCTCCAGAGAAGGAGACCCAGCCATATCATGTGGCAGCAATTTTCACTGTCAAAGAACTCTTACCAGCAGGAAAGTTTACCTAACGTTTAGGTGGAAACTCTTTCCCTGCAATTTGAATCTATTGTTCTATGTCCTTGATAGTACAGAAGCAGAAAGAAAGCTTGCCCCCTCCTCAATATGACATTCTTTCAAATTTTAAAGATAGCTATCATGTCACCTCTTTACTTTTTCTGCTCAGGGTAAACATGCTCAGCTCTCTAACCTGTTCCTTATAGAATCTATTTTAATATTCCTGAACATGGGATCACATTCAGTTTTCCCCTAAATCAACTGAAATCAGCTTGCTTAGTGTCTAGAACAGGCATCTTCAAACTGCCTCCAACTTCCAGAATTCCTGACCATTGAACAAGCTGGCTAGGACTTCTGGGAGTTAGAGATCCAAATAGCTGGAGGGCTGCAGTTTGAGGATGCCTGGTCTAGAATGTGTATCTTACTACTTTTGGCTTGCCTTTCTGATGTATAACAAACTGGGAGAACCTGCTCACTTCCACCTAAATAGTCTGTCACTATCACCTATTAACTAGGTCATCACTGTTGGTTAGGATCAGATCCACGTGTGTCATTCATAACTTATACAGGAACACAAATGTGTTTCTGTATTTATGTTTCATATGAAAAACTGCAATATTTTCTTTTTGTTTACCTTACATGGACTAAGTCACTAGGTCATCATTTTTCTAATCAGAATTAGCTAATTGTCTGGTGAATTTATATTTGGAAGGCATTTCCAATCAAATTTATCTAAATCGAATCCTTTAGCTAGACGTGTCTACCTAGTGGTCTATGAGATATTCAGCTTCATTATTCTTGATTTCTGGCTTAAAATAATTTAATCCTAGAAAGGATAGTAGTATGAACACTGTTATCCTTATCTCATGTCTGTCTGTTTCATTGGGCTAATCTTATGCCACATTTCAAGGGTTCAGAGTAGATAGAAGCTACACATTTTACTATTATAAAAGATATCAGCACTTTACCTGTGTAAGACTGAAAAGAGGGATTGAAAAAAGTATAGGTCTATGTAAGATTATTAATATAGAATATAAGTTCAAGAGTTCAGATTCATAACATGGAAAAAGGAGCCAGTAGCAGCAATATCAGGTCAAACCACATTTCTTCTGACTACGTCACTGAGTACAAAATAAATATTTGGCCCCTTTTGATATGTTTACAAAGCGAAAGATGCCATAGAAATTTTATCCCTCATGGAAAGATTGAGAGCTAAAAATTAAATGCATATATAAATAGAGGATTGCCAAAGAGGACTGTAATAAATGTCAACAAACTCAAAAGTGTGTTTACTTTAAATTTCAGCATTAAAGAGTAGAACCTACATTGCAAGAGAATGGAGTAACTGGAGGTGCTTCAACAGTTCTTGGTGAAAATGCAAAACAACCTGTTCTTTATAACCACTGACAACTGTGAACTGTAGGGAATAGGGATCCCTATTGTAATTGTTGTTGTTTTAATAATAATAAAAACAATAGAGAAACAATCCGCAAGGAACTGTCAAGAAACAGCATTGTTGAAGGACATAGGTACCAAATGGGTTTGATTCGGGGGGGGGGGCTGAGTCTGGGTGAAAGAGGGTCTACCCTAGCAAACCTTTTGTATCGTTACCCCAATACCCCCATGCATATGGGATATATTGAGAATGGTGATCAGATCATGATATTAATAAACATAACAGTTTAAATAAGGCCTTCTCGCGTACCACCATGAGAATTTCGGGGGGGGGGGCTGAAGCCCCTATAGCCCCCCCCCTGCCCCCCGGCTACATGCCTGGATCTGCATATGACCCTTATATTGTTTTAGCAGTAAGATAATAGCTTGAAATCCACAGGACTAGTATAAGAATTCTATAAAGCTAAAACAAGGAATTGCTGAACACAAAGTTTAAGATGTAAAATAATCCTTAAAATATTGAAAAATATGTTTCTCAGGTGATGAGAAATCTTAACAAAAAGAATTCTGAAACAATGAGAATATTCAATTTGGAAGATATTCTTTGCAAAATGAATGTGACTTTTTAAATGAAGAAAACAGCATTTTATTTGCAGGAAACAGTTGTGTTTGTGTGTGTGTGTATGCAGAAGTATGATTTTCAATGCTGTTTCCTGAAGATAAAATGCAATTTCACTACAAAGCAATCACATGAATAGGTACGAAAAAGCATTGAAAGCAACAGATAACCCATGTAATAACAGAAAACAGTAAAGGAATAAGTATGGCTTTAAAATAACATATAAAGCATCGCAAGGAGTAATAATATGGTAAGATCTTGTCTATCTGAAACTGGTCTGATCTACTCTATGTCATAATAACCTACATTTCATACTTTTATATATTTCAATACACATGCTTCGTGCAAACCAATTATTTACAATATGTATTTGTAAATAAAATACATATATAAACCTATCATTTATAATATGTATTTGTAAATAAAGTATAAATATATATGGATATATTCAGAGATTAATGAGAAAACAAGAAAAAATGGAAGGACTGGTCAGGATAAGAAAAAATTATAAAGTCTTCAAATATGTTGTTTTACACAAGTAGCCATTCTTATGGGAGGAAGGGGGAAGGGTTTGGCAGGAAAAAAAATACAAACAGACAAATATAATGTAGGAAATTCTAACAGTAGGCAAGTTAAAAATTCTAACAGTAGGCAACTGAGAAGGAGACATAAGGAATGTAAGCAGAAGTCACATTGTACTTTTAAAACCTGGCAGTTCCATTTCTTGATCTATTTTTCAGAATGGGTTTCATCCCATGCCCAAAGGCCCTTAACAATAATTAATTTTTAAACTCTAATGTATAGTGAACCACGCCCCTCTCCCTCTTTGTATCTACGCTGTACTTTGTATTTTGTATTATTCTGAAAAAGTATTCTAATAAAAATGATTAAAAAAATAATAATTAATTTTAAAATGAAAATTTGGAAAGAAGAAGACAATCCACTCATTTGCCTCCAATTCTAATATAAAACTACATGGCTAATTATTTGCACATAATTTCCCAGTTTATTTCACAAACTATAATGGTTTTGAGCACTGGATTACGACTGGAGACCAAGGTTAAGATTCTCAAATTCAGGATTTAAAGAAAACCTCCTCTAAACAAATTTTGTCAAGAAAACCCTGTAATAATTTCATCAAATGTTTATTATACATTGAAACAAGAACAGCAACCTGAAAATTTGCAAACCTGCTATGCTATGAGACCACTACATTAGTGCTACTATCCACCGCCATATAATTGTGATTCTGCACTTCATCAGCATCCATCAAGAGCACAGAAATAGTTTTTGAAACTAGGGTTCAAATCCCTAACACAAGATCATATTTACTATAGGTTGTGAACATTTTCATCCCAAGGTCAAAGAAAAAAAGTATATCAAAAAAGCTACAAGAGAATTTTCACAGGATATAATACTAAGAGCTAGCTGGTACTTTAGTGTTAAATAAGCAAAAAGCAATACAAAAAGAGAGGTGTATATTGGTTTTCCCCAACCAGGAAATTCAAATGTATCCTTCAATAGTCGAAGACTAATAACTGAAGATTGATGGGCCTAATACAAACAATAACTGTTGTTATTTTGTATGCAAAAAGAGTCAACAAAGCATAAAATACATACAACGTTGTAGAGCATAGGCTGGTAGCTACAATTTTGCTTTCAGAATCAAGTCTACATAATTTCTTCCCATGCAATAGGCCTCAAAATATCTATTGTAGAATTTCTTTGAACTACTTTTTTTTTACTTGAAACAAGGCATGTACTTTGATTTAAAGAAAAAGCGTGTTTCTGAAATTTTAGAAGTATCATTATTTCCAATAAGGCTTGAACTTTCCATGTGCCATGTCAGTTTTTTAAAAAATAAAATAAAATAAAACACAGAACAGTTTAAAAGTGCTTACCCTTACACATTTTGCAATAGGGT